TGCTCCTGAGAGTTTTGCGATGACCATGAGCATGGCTGTTGTTTATGTGTATGTTTACCAAAGTACCTAAATAAGTGGTCCAATGTTCAAAGGTACTGAGCAGTTTCCAGTGAGCTCAGGTTGCAATGGCTTCCCCAGTTTGGTTCCTAAGTACCAATTTAAATCCTGATTTAAGAAAAGAAAAGCTGGCCCAAAATGCTGTCACAAGTGTACCCATGCTGTCCTGGGTTCAGCAGTAGCAGCCATTTTTCTCCTTCTTGGTAGCTGGTGCAGCACTGTGCTTTGACTTTCGGCCTGGGAACAGAGCTGATAACAATGATGTTTTGGTTTGGCCAAGGACTTTGTGAGCCTCATGCTCTGCCAGGGAGGAGGGGAAGCCGGGAGGAAGCAGAGACAGGACACCTGACCCAAACTGACCAAAGAGGTATTCCATACCACAGCACATCATGCCCAGGGGGTAACTGGGAATTACCCAGAAGGGCTGGGGGACTGCGGGGTTGGAGGAGGTATCGGTCAGTGCTTGGTCGGGCTGGGGGGGGCGAGTTATCAGTTGGTTGGTGGTGAGGTGTTGTATTCTCTTCCCTTGTTATTTCCTTTATCATTATTATTATTGGTGGCAGCAGTAGTGATTTGTGTTATACCTTGGTTACTAAACTGTTCTTATCTCAACCCATGGGAGTTGCATTCTTTTGATTCTCTTCTCCATTCCTCCGGGAGTAGGGGGAGGGCAAGAAGGGGGGGAGTGAGTGAACGAGTTGTGTGGCTGGGTTTAAACCACAACACATGCCCAGGGGCAAATCTAGACTGGATTCCTAGACACAGACACTAACTGGCATCAACAACTTCCTGATGGTCCTCTCGAGCAAGCAGGAAAATCTCCTGACCTAACTTCAGACATTCACAGTGTTGGCATCACCATTGTATTAGCTTCCCTGGCACCTTTATAGTTCCTGAAGAGTAACAGGCATTTGGGATATGAGTCACCAGGCCTATTTTAGACTTCTATTTTAGATAAGATGGTTTGTGGCTTGAAGAGTTACCTACTGAGTGCAAAGGCAACCCACAGTGACCTGAAGAGTGGTGGAGGTTGTTGGCTTCAGCAGTTGCTCAAGTAAACCTAACCCTGCGTCTGAAAGCAAGGATGCTCAGGCATCATGCTAATGCCAACACATTAATGACATGCCAACAACAGGAGGAAGTTATTTGCTTGTTTTCCCTAAAACAGTGCCAACAAAGGGATTTATTTCAGTAGTTAGGATGCAAATGGAAATAAAATAATCTTTTCAATGCAGATAATACCTTTGGTTAGTCTGTTTGCATCAGTTTTAACTCCAGTGTAATACAAATAAGCTCTGGAACAGAAATGTGGCTCAGGTAGTTATGTCCTTTGCACAAACAAGAATGAAAATTCATGCCTTCTAAGATGGAAAAGCAATCATATAAAACAGAGTGGTACAAAACAGATTTCTAATACAAAATTACCCATCTAGCTTCTCAAATCTCAGGTAAGCCTGTTCTCCTTTGTAGGGCTTTAAATCAATGCAAGACTTCAGCCTGAACATGTCAAACATCTGCAGGATAACAACTTTAGCATTCAGATCTGAAACAGACAGCAGAGGGTAACAATAGCAGTTGTTTTGCCTTTATAGTATTGTAAATATCTATAATTCTAGATAGAAAGTATGAACAAGCGTGCATTAAAGCTATGAACACATATTACAAATATCTACCTGCATAAAAGAGCAGGAGGCTGTTAGCAGAATTCCTTGAATGAAGAATTTTGGCAGAGCTCATAGAGAGAGATAATATTGTGGATAAACTGATAATGCTGAAACAAGCAAACAGGCTTTTGGACATCCAGGGCATTGTTCATGTTTCACTGGGCAATGTTATTGCATATTACTATGGAATTTTAAGTACTGTAAACTTTGATCTTGGGGCTAGTAAACACAGGAGAAATGTGCAGGATTTTAACAGATTTGATATTAGATTTTACTCTTAAATTGTTCAGAATTTCAAATAGTGCCTAAAACTAGCTGAAAACAAGGAGGGAGAATGCTCTGAACATTTTTTACTTCTAGAGCACCTGCATTTCCTTTCTGCCTGTACTGAGGTGGGCCTGTTAAGAAGAGATAAGGCACAAAGGGTGCAGTATTTCAACATGCCTTTTCTTGAGATTAGGATTTCCTGACTTCATTATCTAGAGATGCACTGATACTAGTCGAATTGGCTGCTCGTCAGCATCTGGCTGGTCACTGGGGCTGTTGCACTGAAAACAAGTGTACTGGGGCAGAGTTGCATTGTTCTATCTGGCCAGCAGTAAGAAGGGCAGCATAATGCAGCCCTTGTTATTAAATTAATGCAGCATAACTCAATAGCAAATGAAACAAAAGCAGCCCAGAGAGCTGGACAAAAAGAGAGTATATCTAATGCAAGTAATACCATGCTACCCTAATAAAAAGTCTTACTACCCAGGCTGTCAGCTGGGATATATGCGTTGGGAAATTTCCATCTGTAGGAGTTGTTTCTCAGAGCATTCCTCTCCAGCTGTTAATGAGATCTGCATGTTTGTATTAACATTTTAAGCCCAGTCTTTGCTGATGCTGGTTTAGAGCAGCAGCACATAGTGGTAAGATAATATCAACTTCAAAAAGCTTCCTTCCCGTTTCTGAAATGAGATAAACAACCATTTAGGCAGGGTAACATATCAAGAACTACAATATATGCTTTTTCAAGGACCACACAATTAATCAGGTTGCCTCATCAACCAGCCCATATCTCTCTAAACAGTAACTGCCCAGAAAGAAGCAAACCACCAACCATTACCACACTATAACATGCCTGTTCTCTGTCAGAAACTAAGGGGATTTGGGGCTGAATAAAGATTTCTGCAACAGTTTAGTAACACCTGCCCAGAGGTGCCCAGAATTTTATTGTTTTTCTCAGGCTTGTATCCTGAAATAACTGTGGACTTCTGAACAATAACACTGATATCCTGGTGGAATGGATTTGTTTGGAAGTTGGGCATCTAATAGCCTAACTAGTTAGCTAACCTTGGTTAATCATCTGGGATTTCTTGCATGATTAAAGGATTCTGTAGAGGTAAGAGGTTGAGCCTGAACCAAGCTCAGGTTGAAGCAATTAAGTCTATGTTCTCTGTGTCTCAGATCCCATTACAGCTGTGTGTTCATCCAGATGCCTAAACGTAGGAGTCTGGTGCCATTTGAGATGCACAAGGTTATCCATGGGCCGGCAGATGAAAAGCTTGAGATATTGCTTCCCTTCTACAGTGGTGCTGGGGGGGACTGGCAGCAGACAATGCTGTTTTAAGCAGCTGATCCACATCTTCCATGCTTTAAAAATCATTTGAAGATCTAATTTTACACCCTTACTTTTTGTAAGGTGCCAGATTCCCCACACAGAGCTGAGGCCAAACCCCAGCCACTGTATGGTCCTGCTAGTGTAACATTTTCATTTAGTGCCCTTGTACAAGCACAATCCCAGCACAGGCAGTTAATTTTCAGCCCTTTTGTTATAGAGATAACTTATATTCTCCTCACATACATATGCAGAGAAGAAAAAAGCCCCTAATGCTACACCACATTTTCTGTTCTGTCACCAAAACCAGAGGAAACTTAGGCCAGAGCATACAGCAGAAAATGGGCAATGTCAGAAAATAAAAGCTCTCAGTGCAATGTTCTGAAACCCTGCGGCAGGGATGAAGGTACTTGGGCTTCATATCTTGGTCACAGATCATGTGTAACCAACCAACTCCAGATAAATTCACATTGACAAAGCAGAAGTTGAACTACAGCCACTGCCAAGGTTTCTCTGGGAGTTGTGCTGCAGAAGAGCACAGGGGAGACGTTGCTGTTCAGCCTGGAGAAGAGAAGGCTGCGTGGAGACCTCACAGAAGCCTTCCGGTATCTGAAGGGGAGCTGTAGGGATGCTGGAGAGAGACTCTTCATTAGGGACTGTAGTGACAGGACAAGGGGTAACGGGTTAAAACTTAAAAAGGGGAAGTTTAGATTGGATATAAGGAGGAAATTCTTTACTGTAAGGGTGGTGAGGCACTGGAATGGGCTCAGGGAAGTTGTGAATGCTCCATCCCTGGCAGTGTTCAAAGCCAGGTTGGACAAAGCCTTGGGTGGCATGGTTTAGTGTGAGGTGTCCCTGCCCATGGCAGGGGGGTTGGAAATAGATGATCTTAAGGTCCTTTCCAACCCCAACTGTTCTATGATTCTATGATTCCTCATGAGCAGCTGAATGTATTGCCAAATTTATGATGAAGATTTTGGGCTTCCTACACATTTCTAATATTTAAAGAGCAGCTCCTACATTTATATCCCCCAGAAAACAAGTGCATCATTCTGAAGTGAGAAAATGCTGGTGGTTTATTTCACGTAGCTGTATAGCCATTTGTTGGGTCTAATATTTTTCCTGATTACACCAGCCAAGATCTAGTTTGTAGCTGTGGTCCCAATGTGCAGGGTCCAATGTACAGGGCCCTGTACAAACTCAAAGCCTATTGGCAGTCCATGCTCTACAGAGCTTGACAGAGCTTGACACACTTTTCCTGTTAAAGACCCACAGTTTCCAGGACTTAAATTTATTTGGAAGCTTGGGAATATTTCAGTGTGGCAGGAACCCAGCATGGACCCATCCCTGAAGCTCTTTACATTGCTAGCAGGTGTGTTTTGAACCTGTGCACAGGACTCATATTTATTTTTGCCCTTTTCCTGTATATGCTTCAACTTCAAACTTTAAGAGAAAGTCCTGCTTTTCTTTCAATGCCCTCCCCCTACCAAGCGGCTTTTCACTTAAAATTGAGGCATTACCATTAGGAAAGCTAACATAGATCTCAGTGCCTCTAGAGGATCAAAATGAACTCCAGTTTCCAGCATCTTGGTTGAATTTTACATCTCCTGGTCTCTCAGATGAAAGAGTGACTTCCCTGCCTGTGTTTTCCTGAGCGCACCCCTCCACATGAGCATCACAAGTGACAAAGGGACAGAAGAACACAGATCATGAATCTTGACAGTGATCAAACATGGGACAGTCACTAAATCACAACATTGCCCATTGCAGAAAAACATCTACATTGTTTGTGCTATCCAGCACAGCTCTTGCGAACCGAAATTCAAATACTGAAGACTGACACTGATACCAGGTAAGGGAATACGCAGCACATTTACATTCCTGCACCTGCCCTGCTCTGAACAGGAGCAGCACCAAAATCCCAGCCTTCTTCCCTGCTCTATAAAGCTCCCTCACATGACACTCATAGAACAGCAGTTGCTAACCTGCGTTAAGCATTGGTGCAACAACCTACTCTTCCAGCGGAGTGTCACCATCCATCTTGGAGGATGAATTTGTGCTACTCTCAAGAAGAATTCAATGTCACTTCATATGATACCCTGGCTATTGTCATCATCACATTTCAGGCATTTGCTGGCACGTGGATAAATGCTTTCATCATTTCTGTGATTTGTGTTTCTTGGGTCAAAAAGAAAAGCTTTAACTCTAATGAGAAGGTCTTGTTGTTTCTAGGATGCTCCAGGTTTGCATATTTGATCGTCACATGGGTGTATTGCCTTCTCGCAATACTTTATCCCACATACTTTTATGTTCACCCCATACCGCAAGTAGTTGTAGCTGTTCAAAGCTTTTTAAACTCTTCCAACTTGTGGGTTTCTGCCTGTCTGTGTGTTTTTTATTGCGTAAAAGTTGCCAATTTCAGGTACACCTTCTTCCTGTACCTGAAAGTGAAAATTGACAGGATTGTGCCATGGCTGTTGCTGGCTTCAGTGCTTTTATCTCTGGTCATCTGCATCACTATCTACTACGTCACTGATAAGGCAAAATGTGTCCAGCCCAATTCCACTGCCCTAGAAAACTTCTGGAAAATGGATGTCAGAATGAGTGAAGAATTTTTTCCTGTTTTTCTTATCAGCGGCTTTGGATTTGCCACTGCATTCATGGCAGTCATCTTTTCTGTCCTACTCATCTTTTCTCTCTGGAGACAAAAACGCAAGATGCAGAACAACTCAATGAAGGAACTCAACATGGACACCTATATCAAAGCCATAAAATCTATTCTGTCCATCTTCATTATTTACAGCTTTAATTTTATATGTTTGATCTTGACACTGATTTATGCCACAAAGAAGGAAAATACTGTGTCATTTCTCATTTTCATATTCCAGTATGCTTTTCCATCTCTTCATTCCCTTACTCTGATTTTCAGCAATCCAAAACTGGAAAATGCACTGCTAAGGACTCTACTCTGTGTGAAGTGCAAGGTTTGCAAGAAGTAGGAACTGTAATAAAAGCTGAAGCCTATTAAAAATGTTGATATTTTGCTATAAAACCCAAGTAATTTAATCTCTAATGCAACTCTCCAGTCAGTGTAGATGATACAGATGTTCTACCTTCACTATCTAAGTTAAGAAAGCTTCATTACAATTCTTTCAATTATTCTGAGTTAAATAAGTTACTATTATCATTTATACAATTCTTTGTGTAAGTTATTGTCAAAGTAAATCAGACCTGGTACATGGGCTAGATGCAAAAGCGGAATAACACTACTGCAAACCTCCTAAAAATTTGGTATCTGCTGATTGAAACTACTGAACTAAACATGTTTATATCTATTTGTTGTTTTACATTTATTTCTGCTTTCACAGTCCATAATAATATGAGCTGTATCACTATCATGCATTGGTTTATAGCACAAGCGTGAATATGTTGATCACTATTACTCACCAGAGGTGCCAACTGGCTTTAGCAATACAGCCAGTATTGCTAAATACTGGCCACAGGGTGGACAGGTGGGGTGGAAAGCCCCTGTACCACACCAGCCTTATGTGTCCTCTCTCTGCCACACTTCACGTGAAAACATGATTTCCTCTTCTGCGTGTGACTGCGCCCCTGCTCTGCATTTTGTTTCTCATGACATCTGCTGTTACCAGTGGACTCTGGAGCAGTAAAGCACCGAGGACAGTGCGTTTTGTGCAAGGTGTGATCTCGGATGAAGTCAAGCTTTCTTCTTGCAGTGACCCACTGCAGTTGTACACGACGTTTGTGCCACGTGCTGGCAGTTGTGGGGTCCATGGGAGCCTCTCTGAGGAAAGGTCAAGGCTGCTCCATGCCAGGGAAAGCCAGCTTCAATGGACCCACCACAGCAGCACACAGATCAGCCCATCAGCAGTGCTGGTGGTGCCACTGGGAAAATATCTTTAAGACGGGGAAAACCACTGCCCAGCAGTGAGGAGTGAGGAAAATTGTGAGGAACAGTCCTGCAGCGAACAAGGTCAGAGAAGGAATGGAAAGAGGTGCTCCAGACACTGGAGCAGAAATTCCCCTGCACCACATGGAGGTCCACGGTGGAGCAGATATCCTCATGCAGCCCATGGAGGACGCCACACTGGAACAGAGGGATGCCCCAAAGGACTGAAAACTGTAGGGAGCCCACACCGGAGCAGGCTTATCCTGAAGGACTGCAGCCCATGGGAAGGACACATGCTGGGACAAGGGAAGAGCTTGAGGAGAAAGAAGTGGGAAAGACAATAAATTATGGACTGACCGGAATCCCCATTCCCCATTCCCCTGCACTGCTAGAGGGAAGGAGGTAGAGAAGCTGGGAATGAAGAAATGAGGCTGAGAAGAGGGGGTGGAAGTCATGTGTCTTGGTTTTGTCTTTGTTCTTCATCACCCTACTTTTATTTTCAATTGGCAATAAATGAAACTGATTTTTCCTAAGTCAAGTTTGTTTTGCTCGTGATGGCAACTGGTGAGTGATCTCCCTGTCTTCATCTTGACCCATGAGCTTTTTCACCTGTGAGCAAAAGACCATTCCCTTATTCTCTTCCCTATTCTTCTCCATCCCCACAAAAATGAAAGGGGAAGAGCTTAAAAGGAAAGTACAAGGAGCTGTTTCCAAATCATCAGCTTTCACTCTTTTCTGGCTTTTCCTGCAATAGTAAAGCAAAAAAAACAAAAACAAAAACAAAACAAAAAAACCCACCCAAAAAATTTACATTTCTGTTGTTCTGTAATAAAGATGGGTTCAAAGGGTTTGATTCATCTGATCAAAATCAGACACTCAGAGGACACTGCCTATAGCTGTTTGCTTTTAGCTGTAATTGCGCTTTTTAGATCAGATGCCCAACTCCACAGAGTCCCACTTTGACAGCAGGAGACACTACACCACTCAATCTGTTGAGACACTGTGTCCAGACAGAGGCAGATCTTACACACCTCATTCAGACACGTGTCTCCAGCTTTAAAGGCCTTTTTAAAGGGCAGGAACTACCACACCTCCCTTCTTTCCCTCTGTTGCTCATGCAGTTGATCATTTAATGTGACAGTCCCAATCACAAGACCATCTTACTCCCTACAACCCATGCAACATCGTCCCTCAAAACGTCACATGCCACAAAACTCAGCAGGCAAAACCAATATCTTGCAGATGTTATCGCACAAAAAGAATGCACCCAATTAAGCCATGATGAAGATACCTTCTTTCCCCTCCATAAACCCCTTGTGAACATCATGCACAATGCAGCATCACCCTCCAGTTTCCAGCATCCAGCCCCACCCAGCTGGCACTGGAGGAGATAGGTTCTAAAACAGCACAGCTGCACTGCACAGCTCATACGGTAAAGGTGCTCTCTGGAGAGATGCAGTGATGTGCCCAGCCCCAGGGAAAGTGTTCCTCAACTACACACCACTCACCAGCTGGCCTCAGGGCTAGAAACAGCACTGTTTAGTTTGTCAGTATGGAAAGAGGTACTCTGTCCAGTATGTGTCTCCACTTGCACTGTCACCAGTTCAACAGTCAGGCCAACTGTGAATGGAGTTGATGTCTCACATGGCTTGGGAATTACAAATCACAGAATTATTGAATGGTTAGGGTTGGAAAGGACCTTAAGATCAAGACAAAGCTGGGAGCTTGCCTTTTTTTCCATAGGCATCTTGACTCATCTGGGATGCCTAGGGTACCCGAGACATCTGCATGGGGTTGGGAGCTACAGCACAAGATCTTCTGTATACCTGCAGGGTCAGTCTGGGTACTTGAGAGCATCCCTCATGGCTTAGACACCTCTGTGTAGATGGCTGAATTAATCCCTGGAAATCTGCAAGAGGGAGATGGATCACAGCACTGTTGGTTACAGCTGCAGTGCTCAAGTGCTGGGCAAAGGATACCTGTAACTAAGGCACTCCAGAAGCACAAGGTCTGGGTAATGGAGGGGAAGCAGATGGGAAAGGAGGCAGATATACAAGAGCAGGCGAAGCAGACACATAAAAGATGTCAGAACTCAAAACAAATGGCTGCCCACTGCTAGCATGGAATGGAAAACTGCTCTGGGTCAAATCCAAACTCTTTATGATTGAGAAGTGAAACAGTTAAAAAGTATTTTCCCATGAAGAGTGTTGAAGTGCAGAGGGACAGCTCAGCACCAGCTCCACAGCATTCCTATGAGCATAGATATAAAAATGGCTGGGAGCACTGCTAAAAATAAGGCAGTGCTCTAACTGTCTTGGCAGCCATACATGTCTGAAAGCAGCAACGAGAGTAAAAGGTCAACATCAGCGCCTCTCCTTCCGCCAGAAGAAACAACTACACCCCACTCTCAAAGTGAGAGGCACCACCAGAAGCTACAAGTCCCTACAGAGCCTCCTGGTGACTCAGGATGAGAGCAAATAAGCAAAGGCCATGAACATCAGCAGAGTGAGCAGAACAGTCCCAGGTACTTTCATTAATCAGTTAGGGGCAAAACCATTTCCCTCTCAGACACTGTAAGAAACGGCTGTCATTTCTGTAAATTTATACATTTCAGTGAATTCGAATATAAGAGTGTATTTAAACATCCTCTGCAGTTTTCTGTGATCTGACACATACAGACACACAGACAGAAAGAGGCACTTGTACGTGCTCACTGTGAACAAGAGTATTTACAGTACATCACAGGGATGCATCCTGGTGGCCATCTGCTCCTGTTCATCCATATTTCACCCTGCAGGTACACTTGAGGTCTGTCAGGGTCATTGCTCTCAACTGCAAGTTGTCAGTGGCACCAAATAGGCAGGGCACACTACTGCTTCTCCCTTTTTTTGGGACTTTTCTTTTGCGCAAAGGATGTATAGCTCTTCCAGGAACATGGTGGGTTTCTCTTAAGCTCTTCTTTCTTGAGTTTCCAGTCTTCATCAACCTGGTCTAATGGGATTCCTTTCATTGCAGCTGTCCTGCGATAGTTTCTGCTCTCCACCTCTGCTCTGGAGAAGAAAGCGAGAGAGCATGTTCAATACAATACTGGGCACAGCACAGTCACACCACCACTCATAAGCAGCCCACCTACATCGTATATTGGTATGTTCACAACACTGTTGCCAGCAATACATAAGAAAACACTGAGGTTCATCCCAAATCTAACAGCATTCCTCACCCCATGCAATCAGGTACTCAACTGAGAGTTGGGTTGAAGTGGGAAACCTTTGGTAAGGATCAAAGATTGGACTTTCACCACTGGAATCATAATTTTAGCCATCAAAGCTCTGAAAGACTGATCTTGTGAATGTCTGTGGTTTTAAATAGGCTTAACCGCATTTAACGCAACTATACACGGTATATTAACTCACTGCAACGTTCCCAATTTCTTTTATTTTTTTTTGTACTGCTCATTCGTAAGTACTAGAAACTCTTACTGCCAAATGACAAGTACATCTATCCTTCACTTCCAAGTCATACAACATAGAATCATGGAATGGTTTGGGTCACAAGGGACCTTTGAAGATCATGTCAACCACCAAGATTTAAGTCACTAGTTCTCTTTCACTGGGCACTCTTAAGTGTAAATCTTGTCCAAAAGAAGACAAACCCTTTCGTCCTACTGCAGAGGATGGATGTTTGTAGGTACTCAGTGTTCATGAAGCTCTGTCAGAAATACCAGTAGATATCAGGAAAAATCCTGTCTATACACACATATGCGTAAGAAAGAAGGTCAATGCCCCATTGTCTGACAGTATTTAAGAGGCATTTGGACAATGCTCTTAATACATGCTTTAACTTTTGGTCATCCATGACATGGTCACGCAGTTGGACTAGATGATCACTGCAGGCCCCTTCCAGCTGAACTATTCTATCCTATTGTATTATATTCTATTGTATTCTGTTCTAAAGTATCTGCTACCAAGGGCAAGAAACCTCTTTCTGGGCACTTTTTAATATATGTATTTTGGTGTACACACACACACACACACACACACATGTGCACACATATTATGAATGTATATATGCCCTGGACTTGGAATAGCTGGAGCCTTTGGTGCATTCAACACTCAGCACTTTGCAGAGAGCTGGTGGCAGGCACAGGAAGCGTCTCTGTGACAGCTTGGCCCCATCCTCAGCAGGTCTCACAGCATCCAGGGTAAAGCCATTCTCATGCAAAAAAACCCTGATGCAAATCATGTGTTTGTTATCCAGAATCAGCTGTGTTTTGAAGGCTGTTTCCTGTCCTTTGCATGCCCATGCAAACCTCTGTGAGTGGCAGATACTCTGTAGCAAAATATTATTAATATTTGCATGTTAATAATATTTACATGTCGATACATGTAGTATTTCCATGTTGATGTGCAGCTGGCACACCTGGGGTCAGAGACAGTGTGCAAGGACCATGGTGGTGCTAGATAACCCCTAACCCTGAACCGGGGTTTAGGAAGGATTTGAATGCTCAGAGCCCTGTTATAATACACACGTTTGCATTTGGCACAGACCCTCAGACTTTAAAAAATTGCCTTTTCTCTCTTTTTGCATGAGAGGCAAATATCCAAAAGTGATGCTCTGTAACAAAATATCACTCATATTTACATACCAATAACACGCACACCATGAGCAGAGGGCAGACCTACTCTGCTGCACAGCATTAGTGTGCAGACACACACTTCATTTTCTGTCTGCAGTGCCCAACAGTATTGCCCAGCTCCCATTGGAGCCACAGAGTGCTGCCTGACCATGGGCATCATCACCTCTGAGATGTTCTAGACAACTGAAAGAGCAGAAGTAATTGTGATTATACTACAAAATGTCAGTAATTCATCCTGATTAACTCCAAGTTTGCTGACGTGAGGAGGTGAAACTGCTGCATGAGGGTGAAGGTGTTCACTGTGGTTGTAAATTATAGTGGTTTGACTTAAAAAAAAGGGCTCCTGAGCCCCAGTGATAACTCTTGGCTGCCCACAGGCTGTGTTATGTGAAATCACCTCACAGCCTTCAAGTGTCTGATACAATGTCCTAGGCATGGGTACTCAAAGCATCTTCCCAGTTGTTAAATTGTTCCAGCCATGCCCCTAGATGAGCCATGCAGCAACAGGGTGAGTGAGGCCAGCACGTGGGTCTGAGAGACAAGTTTCTACCTCAGTCAGCCACCTCAGAAACCCCTCTATCAGCTGCATGAGTCATAGAATCATAGAATCCCAGAAAGGTTTGGGTCAGAAGGGACCTTAAAGCTCATCCAGTTTCAACCCCCTGCCACATGCAGGGGCACCTTCCACTACATAAGGTTGCTCCAAGCCATGTCCAGCCTGACCTTAAATACTGCCAGGGATGGGACAGCCACAGCTTCTCTGGGCAACCTGTGCCAGTGACTCACCACCCTCACAGGGGAGAACTTCTTCCACGTAGCAAGTACTAGAGTGAACCTTGCCATTGAGCTTTAAGTCACACTTTCACAAGTTAATATTAAACCCACTTTTGCTAATACCTGTGGCGGTGATTCTTTGAGGGACCCTAAACCACTCATTTGTGACCTACAGGTGTAGTCAGCAGGATCCTCAATGGGGACTCGTCACAAGCCCCATCAGCTGCCGCAGCAGCACTGACCATGGCTACTCACCTTTCTAAGAACCTGGAGCAGTCTTGGTGACCATAGATTTCTGCAACCTTCTTGGGAGTGTCACCAAAGAGGTCGGCTGCATCCATGGCAGCGTGCAGGGAATGAAGGGTGCGAAGCACACCCAGCCTGCCCGCCTCGGCAGCAAAGTGAGCTGGAGTCCAGCCCACCTCAGTTCGCAGGCAATGCCGGGCGCCATGATCCACGAGGAGCTTGACCAGCTCCGATTGCCCTTGTGTTGGACCACAAAACAGGAAGAGAAGATGCACATGCATTAGACTTTATACCTTTAGGATGCTGAAGATGGTCACACACAACTGATCATAATACCTTACCATGCAATGATGGATTTTACTCATGACCTGGCCATCATTTATCAAATTAATGATACTCATTAGAAAATGCTGATTTTTTTCCCCCCAAACTAGACTGTTTCCAGAAGAATTTTGCAACAAGTCAACAATACAATCAAAATGATTTCTATTAATTTCTGAACAGCACACCTCAATTAGTCATGGACCATCTGGCTACCTACTATTTCATTGTTTTGTTTTGGGTTTTAGTTTAATGCAAACTAAAATTTAAACATTAAAAAACTGGAAAACCTGTGAATATCTTTACTAAAACAAAGGTTTGTTTGATAGGAGAAATTACTTGTTCTCACTCACCTTCACATTTTTCTAACTTGTGGAATTGCTTAAAGAAGAAAAAAAGTTATTTCTACCCAGCTTCACACTGCCTTGACTGAACTAGATTGTTCCCAATGGCAGCAAGCCATGCCAGTCTCCCATCATCATTTTCTTAAGCAGCTCAGTTCCCTTTGCTGATGCTCAAACAAGTAATAATCCACCAGGGCAAAAGTAAAACATGGTGTCAAATGTAAACCAACAAATCACATACTTGATTTCTGAGCAGAGACAGACACCGTGATGTGAGATCCCAATGTGTAACAAATGCCCTATCATGGAGGAGGACACTGTGTACTATTACACATTATATATTGTTGCATTCATCTCTTTTTTTGGGCTGCAAAGGCATATTTGACTTTAACAGACACTTCTGACCGTGAAAGACCAAATGGGAGCTGCAAACAGTTCTGGTCCTGTGTTGTTTGTTCAACCAGGTGGGATAAAGGGCGGGCAATGTAAAACACACTGTAATTATTTTGTCCTATTGGGTTTGATAAATACCTGGTACAAATATAGTGGGTTTGATTTTCTGCTCACTCAGGCAGATGTACATGAGAAATCACTCCTCTGCGCTGTATGAAGACACCTCTTAGAAAAGTAATATGTGGGGGACAAGCAGACATGCTATATGCAAGTATCATGTAAGCTAAATTTTCACATGATGGAAAAAGCCCTAAAAAACACTTTGATGGCCATCCCATAAATTATTTTGGAGGCAAATTTCCCATTTAAATTTTTATTTTCTTTTTTCTCACTCATTAAGGACAGAACAATCAGATACAAGCTGTGACTACTACCAGCGTTAACTGCCACTAGTGAGATGCAATTACAATCAGCATCACCTATGATGCCAGTTTGCAGAGGTAACAGAGCAGGGGGTACCCTTACCTTTTGCAGCAGCCCAATGCAGCGGGGTCCTGTCGTGCCAGTCGGCATCCTTGTGATTCGGGTCGCAGCGCCCTGTCCTCAAAATCTCATCCACCAGGTCGTAGTCCCCAACAGCCACAGCCTCGTGGAGCTCTGTCATGCTGCACACTTCAGAAAGGTGCCTGGTAAAAGAGTGATGGTTGATTAGTGGGTGTTCACTGATGTATCAGCTTCTCTCAAGAGTAATTTTAACAGATCAAGCAGCATCTATATTAAAAATGAGACACACACTGTGAGAAACCAGGATTTATCCAAAAATAAGGAAAAAGGAATGAGTGGGGAAAAAGGAAAACAGTTTATCCAAACTAGTGATCACAGACTGACAGTGATGCTTGGTTTGTAGTCACGGAAATCTGGAGCAAAGTGCAGCCCTTTAAACAAAGGACTTTTACATAAAACCACGTTGCATTTCTCAAGGATGTTGCTAACAAACTGCCAGCTCAGGCCAAACATTTGCTATGGGGTCTGTTAGTACTCAGTACCATAGAAACTGGCTCCTCCCTTGCCAGAGCTGCAGATCCATTATCTGTGGTGCTTTACTGCAATGAAAGAAATGTCTGTGAAGGTACTCCTGAAGCTCTTTGGTGCAAATAATCAAGCTATGGCATGTTGCTTCAAAATCCCATCTCCATAGCCTTGCTTTGCGTTTGCATTGCATTTACTCCATGGAGTCATTTTCACAGATTGAAAAGAGTGTGATTTCCACATTCAGCATGTTGGAAAGGACCAACGTAGGAGCTTTCAGAGGCTGATGTGAGGGAAGGTTTGCAATCCTGGGGTCTACATCTTGGGAGCCAGAGGTGGATGGGGCCATTTCCCTGCTCCCAACTCCCATAAACATCCCAAACACATCCCAAATACAGGCTGGAGGGACACACAAGCATCTCTACCTTGCTTTCTTGTAAGAAAAGGATGAGATTAAAAAGGTCAGAGGGAATCAGCAAGCAGGTCCCCTGACTTATGTAGCTGGACTGTGCAGCCCACATACAAGACAAAGACCCATATATGACATTTACTGAGTTTAACTCCTGCACATCAGGGAATATCTGAATATATTACAAGATATAATAAATTTTGGAGCTCCTCAGTGGGCTACCAAAGTATCATTGGCTTTGGCATGTCTCTGTTGCTTTAACCATTTACGCACTATCTCCTCCTCGTTGTCTCACACTAACCTTGAAGAACCTGTCCCTTTAGATTAAATAAAGGTCTTCAGAGTTGTTCTTCAAGACCTTTCATCAGCATTAAATCTATCTTGAAAATGTTATGCTTTAATTCATCCAGAAAAATAGTAATAATCTTGGACCTTTTCATGCCACTTTCTTGTTCCTTTTCAATGAATTGCCAACAAAATTCTTAGTATAAAAATATAACTTAAATTTCAAGCACCTTTGCAGTCTGCTAGCTTCAGTTTATATCCACACATGTATATGCAAAGGGGAAGAAGAGAAGCCCACAATCCCACCCCCAGAGCTCACCAAAGATGAAGCTGCATAAGCCAAATTTTACCTTCAGTTTCTCCCCTGCTGCCTCCCTTTGCTGGCCTTGAAGCTCAGATGGCTGTTTCATCAGCTGGATCAACCTGTTGCTCTCTCAGAAAACCGTTTTATTTTTGGTGCTGTTTGGGGGTTAATTCCCTAAACTCGGCGTTATCACGGGGCAAATGCCAGGGCTGTGTCAAGGAGTGGGGGAGCACATGCAGATGTGCCCAACCGGTAGGGCCCTGCACTTGATCCATCTTAAACTGCTCAAGTTGACCCAAAAGTGATATTGTTTTCCCTGGGGTGTTGTTAACCCCTTTTCACGAGGCCAGAGGAAAAGATTTGGATGTTGATGGAGGGACCTTGATCCAAAGGGCAGTGTTTTCTTCTTCCCTTCTGCAGGATCCCCCTCCTCACCCCAAAGCATTCCGTAAGCATCGCAGCTGCTCCGGAGGATGCTGCAGCCCGGCTGGGTGGATTTCCTCATTGGGATCCCAGTGCTTGCCCAGCCACGCTCGGCAGCACCGGAGGAAAGCCGGGAAAGCTCACAGCCGCATGCCAGCAATCCCATGCATAAACCCGCCACCGCCGTGCAAAGGCAGAGCCCAGTGCCTAAGCAGCAGCGGGGTCCTGTGCGGCGCTCAGTGATTTTCAGGGATGGCTCCATGCCAGACGCTTTTCCAGGCCCAGCGCCGGTCTCTCCCAGGCAGATTCTCTCGTCTGAACACTAAGGCAAAGTTTGGTCCCTCCCCTTCAGGGAGAGCCCGGCCGCCGGCCTGCCCGCGAGAGAGACGTCCTCCTGCGGGAGCAGCCGCCTCCCGCCGGGCTCCGGAGAGACGACGGTGGCCCAAGGGTCCGTCCTGCACCTCCGAACAGCGGGACGGGAGCGGAGGGCAGCTGGGACACTGCACGCCAGGTATGTGGAGTGCCAGGCACTGCTACACGGGGAAGAAGGGTCCGGGGACAGCGTGGGGAGGAGCAACCGTGGTGCGAGGGGGATTTTAAGGAGCTCGGTAGTCTCCGTGCAGTCCCTAGCACAGCTTGCCAGTGCTCCCGCTTCTGGCTTCAGCCTGCTCTTCCCAAAGCCTGTTCCAAATCCTCACAGGCTCAAGCTTCTCCACTTCCTCCCAGCCCCTTATCCGACCCCAAATCCCTGTGTGTCCCTGCAGAGGGGTCAGATTTGCTCTGGGTGAGCTGCATGGGGGGTCACGGTGGACATGCCGCTTCCTGCTGTGTATGCAGCCAGTGTTCAGAGGAAAAGTGAATGGAGTTTTCCTGCAGGGAAAAGTAGCCCACTTCCTGACATGGACATGCCCAGCGTGGGGATGAGAAGCAGCAGTCCCAGCCTGCACAAAGGGAAACTCAGACTAGATGGGAAAAAATAATTCACAGCAAGGGTGATTAAACTCTGCTTCATGTGTCTGACACCAAGACATGCAAAACCGAGGCAGACCTATGCATACCCTGCTTTGAGCCGGGCTTTGGACTAAGTGACCTCCAATAGTCCTTCCCAACCTAAATTCTTCTAGGAGGCTGCGAGGGACACAGAGCATGAGGTTGTGGGTGCTCTGCAGTATGGCATTCATCTCCCCCAGACCCAGCATCTACAAGGTGGGGCCCTGAACCCTGGCTGCTGTTGGAGCTGGAAGGGAGAGAGATGGTGGTTTTAGGATGTGGTTTCCCCTGGTATACTTTAAGCCCAATGAGCTCAGCTACAGGTGACAAGGTGGTGGACTGTAACGTTAGTCAGACACTAACAGAGCCTTCCTGTACTTTAGCCTGTGACACAACCATCTCCAGGAGCAGTAGGCAGTGGCTCTTCAGGGCAGGAACCAAGGGTGGCAAAGCCATCTGGACTTGCACTTACCAGCCCTGCTGACATGATTTACAGCAGTTGAGAAGCTGTTGTGACTTACTACTGGGGACACGCAGGGTCCTCTAATGGGCGGCTCTAGGTGGAAACAGGAGATGCTCAGATCTCTGTCTCTGGAGGCTGTTATTGGTTTGCCTCCCCTTTTGCCTTCCCTGCTGGAAGTGAAATAATGTATGTCTTCAAGATCAGATAATATAAGGGCGGAAGGGACCTATCTGGAGTGGAGCTGTGCTTGCAGGGAAGTGAGAGTGGTCATTTCTGCTGTGAAGGAGGTACACTTGAATTTAGCCCTTGGATCCAGAAGCTCCAGTTTATGGGAAGACTGAACCCAGGTGCCTCCTCCTGCTGATTCCAAAGCTGCTGCTTGCTGCTTCCACTCTAAGTCCCCATGTCCCACCCCTATTTCCCAACCACACAGCAGACAGGTTTTCCACCATGAAAGTCCTGCTGCAGGCCCGAAGAGTTGCTTCAGTGACTAAAATGAGGCACTTAAGAGCAGCGGCCAGAACTGGAGCTTTAAGGTAAATGCTGTCATAACTCTTAAGAGTGCTTTCCCCCTCCAGACCCAGTGAATGTTGAAATGTTTTGATATCTGGGGCAGGGTCTACAGTGATCCCATGCCCCAGTGATGAGAAATTGCTCTGGTTCAATCTGCAGTGCCAAATCAGGCAAGGAATGTATTTAAATTACCGAAGGGGGCAGTGACACATCCATCTGCTGCAGAGCATCTCACTGAGGAGTGCTACTGAGATGAGCACATGGAGACATGGCTGGAAGGACCTGGCCTAACCTGGGGTAGGAGCATCACCTGAAAGGCTGGGAATCACCCAGCTCCACCTTTGCTTCTGTATCTCCATTTTTCATCCTGAGAAGCATGTACCCTCCTTCCCCAGCCTCATGTGCCATCTGTGCCCATGGTGACGCGCTGTCACCAAATTACTGAGGTCAGCACCACCCCTGCACTAAGCCACACCAAGATGTTAAGAATCATGGAATCACAGAATAGTTTGGGTTGGAAGAGACCTTAAAGCTCATTCAGTTCCAAACCCCCTGACATGGGCAAGGACATCTTCCACTAGAGCAGGTTGCTCCATGCCCCATCCAACCTGGCCTTGAGCACTTGTTGGATGGAAGCAGCCTTTAAAAAGTGCTGTGTGCTTGTTTACTGGAAAAAAAGAAGTGTCTCACATCAGTGGAAAAATACACATTTGCATCTCAGTGACAGCCTCAGCCATTTGCACTCTGCAACACAAAAGGCTCAGTGTGAAGAGCTCTCTCTTTCTGCTCCCCCACACTGGCCAGGCTCCACTCCCCCACTTTCACAGCCTTCAAATAAAGGACAAGCCAAGGTCAGGGGAAAACAAAGAGGAAAAAAAGTAAAACAAGGAGCGAAAAACCCCTCTAAAACTGCAGGCGCTGGTAAAACCTCCCCTGCTGCTGCCCACTGTCCAAGTGAGAGCTCCTGCATAGCAACTGCTCCCTGTTTGCTCTTGCGCTGCCCAGACCCTGCTGCAGCTTTGTCCTCCTTTGCTGAAGAAGCTGGCACCTCTCCATCCCCCAGCTCTTGGGATGGATACTTATAGAGGTGGCAAAGATGAGTTTTTTTCAGGCACAGGGAGAGATCACCCCAACACCAGCACCCACATCTGTTCTCCTCCACCAGTAACTCCCCACAGGCTTCATGGAGATGCTGAGCAGCCTGAGGAATGGCAAACTCAGTGGGGAAGGTACCAGGAAGAATCACAGTAATACCCACAACCCTGTCCTGCTGCTCTCATGTGCCTAAGCTCTCCCACTGCAAGCCCCCAAAGCACTGGAGAGTTTGCAGGATCTGTCCCCCAAAAGCACAGACTGCCTCCTCATGCCAGCTTACACAGACCCAGGGAAGTCAGTGCCAATTTATACCAACACTGCATCCAGCCTTGGAATTTAAATACCTGGAAAGGCTGTTGAAGCTGGTTCCTGCACCCTTCCAATCCCCAGCTCCAGAGCTGCTGCAGGAACTGCCTGATGACAGCCACAGCATGTTGGCTCTGGCAAACAAACTCAAACCCATGAACTACAGGCCAAAACCACCATTACACATGAGAAAGCCATCATCTGCTTGACAGCATTCATAAGCACCAATGTGGGCATGCTGCTTTCAGGTGCAACTTCAACTTCCATTTTCACGCTGAGACAACACCCTGTTTATTGCACTTGAGGTGGATCCAGTATTGTCCGGGGCATGCATGGACTCCAGTTGTTAAAAATCTAGGAGCAGGACACTCATCTCAGACATCACCTATTGTACAACCAGCTGTGCTGCAGGATTCCAGGTTTAAGACATACACAGACTGGGGTAAAGGTTGGACTTGATGATCTTGAAGGTCTTTTTCCAATCTAGCTGATTCCGTGATTCTATGATAAACATACAGCATAACATTCTATGATAAACAGCCTGATGCTGTTATCTCACAGTATCCATAAGAAAATCAATTCCCAGCACTTAATTTAACAGCTGTAGGGTTTTGGGGTTGTTTCTCTTCTGCCACAGGTGTTGGAGACACATGAATGATGACAAGTTGGGTTAGGACAAAAAGAACAAGTGTGTGGTGTAAACTACAGAGACTGACAGGATGCAGGTTCGACATTTCTTTTTCTGCTGTTCCTTTCAGAGGTAGATAAACTGGGCAGAGCAGCAGTTTACCATCTGAGTAGTAAAATGCCCTGTACAGGGCATGTCACTGTGCTGTTATTTAATTCTAAAGGGGGCCTACAAGAATGCTGGAGAGGGACTTTTTACAAAGTGACAGGACAAAGGGGAATGGCTTTAAACTGAAAGAGGCAAGATTTAGATTAGATATTAGGAATAAGTTCTTCCCTAATAGGGAAGTGAGGCACTGGCACAGGTTGCCCAGAGAAGCTGTGGCTGCCCCATCCCTGGCAGTGTTCAAGCCCAGGTTGGATGGGGCTCAGAGCAACCTGGTCTAGTAGAAGGTGTCCCTGCCCATGTCAGGGGGTTGGAACTGGATGATGTTACGGTTCTTTCCAACCCAAACCATTCTGTGATTCTGATCCCTCCAAAAGAGTAAAGTGGACCAAATACACCATTTTTACCTGCACGTGAATTAGGCACCTTTAGGATTTCACAAGAAATTACATTGGTCTAGATTAAGGAAAGTCATGCTCCAGAAGCAAAACATCTTTTCAATTTGCATTTCTTACCATAAGCAAGGTGCATGCCCCAAGAAAAATGCTAAGGTATTACAGGTGATGTTTTACTGAAATTAAGCTATAAACAGGAGTAGGTCATAAGATAAGCCATGGGGTTTCCCCACCTCTTTTGTGTCCTTTTCTTAATATCTATTAGTGCTTTAAAACTTAATGCTCTGCTTAATGCATTTGGCTTATGAGACTAGAAGGAATTTTAACTGTTTGCTTTTTTAAAAAACAGCCACAATATTTTATATTTATGTTTATTTAATGCCCCCAAAACACCCCTCTTCTGTTCAGAAAAGCCAGACCCAGGGTGATGGCTGCAGATGAACTCCAGCCCTCTAGACTTGGGATGGAGAGTCACAGCTCTGCTCTTAAACCTACTGCCAAGTCCTTTTGTAGCCTTGGGCAGGAGAAAGAAGGCATTTCTACCAAAAAAAAAAACAAAACAGTTTATAACCTAGCAATAGCCTTGTACCTATTAAAAAAAAAAAACAACAAAAAACAAAAGGTCTGTAGCTTTTTGACAAAAAGGGTTTACTAGAATATTTAAAAATGAGAAGAAACTCTCAGAGAAACTGTATCATAAAACAGGAGACATTTCTTCAGTTACTTATAACTGCTGAATTTTTGGTTTTGTTTTCTTTATTTCAAAGGGGAATAAACTTCCCAACAGCCCCAGAAGGCCTGAGCCTCCCCTTACATACCGTTTGGCTTCTGTGCTAAATGCAAAAGCTCCCCCCAGATCTGCACTTCTAGGTAGGACAGCGTTTGCCCAGACGCCTCTCCAGTTAGATCTGGCTCCATAAATGATGCTTAATTGTCAGCTGGAACCCTGTACAGCAAAGATGCTGAGCCCAGAGCATCAAACTTCCCTTTACAATTTCACATGAAAATGAAGTCAGGTTTTTGTTTGTTTTTTTTTTTTTTAATTCTGTTTTTGGCTAAAACTGTTACAGTTTCAGAAATGTAGTACTTGGCTTCCCTGTTTACTGCTGACCCCACACAATCTCTGCCTTTCCCCCATATGCACATTCCCTGGTATCAAGAGGAAACCCAGGAGCAGCTCCCCCAGTCACTGAGCCAGCTTCAGGAGGAAGTGGCAGGGCCACCTCTTCAAAGAGCAGCAGCAAAGCTGTCAAGCTCAGTCTTAAACTCAATCCTCAGCTGTGCTTAAACCCTCTTCCAACTGCTATTAGTAGCAGCCAAGCATTTAAACCCAACTGCATCCTCTCCTGCCATGAGGTAAAGCTCCCTCCAAGCAGTTTCACTTTATGGGAATGTATGAAAAATTTCTTCACGGAGAGGTATTGGAAGAGGCTGCTCAGGGCAGTGGTGGAATCACTGTCCCTGGAAGCGTTCAAAAACTGTGTAGATGAGGCCCTCAGGTTTAGTGGTGATCTGGCAGTCCTGGCAGAATGGCTGGACCTGATGATTTGAAAGTTCTTTTCCAACCTAGCTGATTCTGTGGAGGTGGGCTGTCCAGTGTTTTCTCAGAGCGACAGATGTGGAACTTTCTCTATGCTGATGAATGGAGTTGCTAGGTGCAAAGGGGAGCTGGGAGCAGAGCAGCACGGTACCAGTGGCAGGTTTCCTCTTTGCTCCCCTTTCAGGTATGTTGAGGGAGGGTATCTATCTGATAGTGGTACCGCCGTGTGTCTTTATTGCCCATCGTGTCCTAAGGAGCGGGGCAGAGGCGTGCGGGCAGCACAGGCAGCGCATCCCTAGGCGGCCAGGTCGTAGTCGTCGCGCTCCTGGTTGTAGTCGAGCACCTTCTGCCGGAGGCGAGAGGCGTCCACCCAGGTGATGAAGTCCTCCACGGCGCGGGGAATGAGGACGGCGGGGTCGGTCACCACCTCGGGCCCCACGCGGACGTGGCCCTGCTCCACGAAGGTGACGGCGTGGCGCAGGTTCTGCGCCATCCGCAGCTTCACCAGCAGGCAGGGCAGGCGCCGCCGGCAGAACGCGGCCGCAGACAGGCTCTCGCAGACGGCCAGGGACTGCCGCCCGCTCACCAGCCCCAGCCCGTACAGCTTCTCCAGCAGCGTGGCCGCGCAGCGGGAGCGGAAGGCGGCGCTGGCCGGGCCTAGGTCCCGGAGGCGGCGGACCAAGGTGCGGACGGCGCGGGCCAGCGCCTTGTAGTGCACGTAGTCCTCCCGGCGGCCCATCCGGTAGCGCCGCAGCGCCTTCACCTCAGCTAAGCTCCCCGCCGCCGCCTCCCAGCTCACCAGCTCCAGCCGCCGCAGCAGCTTCTGCTCGTGGTACTTCAGCTTCCGCACCATCTTGACGGGAACGTGCCGCCGGCAGCCACCGCCCTTTCCGGGGAGGAGCGGCCGCGCTCTGCCCGCCGCGGCCCCTCCCCGTCCGCCCCGGAGGGCCCGGGGTCTGGCGAAGCGGTTGTGGCGGCAGGGGTTTGGTTCGCGGTCTGGTGTACACCGTGCCGGGGCTGCCGCTGCCACCAGGAGAAGGAAAAGTGGCTGGTCAGAGCCGCGGCGGCTGCCGGAGCGGCGGGGCGCTGCCTAGGGAGGGATGCGGCTGTTCCCCGCTGCTCTCAGCTGGTACCCAGGGCGGGCCTGGCTCCGAGGGCTCACCCCAGGTACGGGCCGGCTTCCCAACAGCGTCCCCTGCACGGACAGGCCGTTTCTCTCCAGTGATCAGATCCAGCCTTCATCTTCCCTCTTGAGGAGCGGCTCCGGCGTTCGGTTTTCTCCGTGACATCCTTCTACCCCGATGCGTAGGCTTGTTTTGCTCACCGAGGAGCTGAGAGAGCTCCGCTCTCTGCCGGTCAGACTAGGAGGAGCAGCTCCATGTCGTAGCCTGGTGGGGAGGGAGCTGCCTTCACAACTGAAACTTGCCGCTCTTGAGCTTGCTCTTCCCTCTTCGTGCCCAAGAAGTGAGACTGCTGCTGCTGCTCCGCACCGCAGCACCTCGGCCTCCTGAATCGAGCCCACAGCGCCCACAGCCAAAGGATTCCTGCCTGCCTTTCTGTTCAGTGCATGGTGTTCTCTGATATTTGGGACTCAGGATACTGCTCCAGGGGAACCCCCCAAAAGAGCAGGTCAGGTTGGTGACTCAGGATTTCAGATCTCTGATTCTCATCAGCAGGTTCTTGTATCAGCTCAACCTTGAATTTCCTGCATCTTCAACGTGCTGCATTTTTGTCAGGGTAGGTGATCTGTCGCACAGGACGTTGCAGTTTTTTGATTTGCTTTGTGTTTTTCCCCAGGTTTGTCAGTGAACGCAGCAATGGAACCAGGGAGCAGCAGCGCTGAGAAGTTTTATAGGATCCCTAAAGGAAAGGGACCACACTCGGTTGGATGCACAGACCTGATGACAGAAAATGCAGTTGAGGTAAAGCTCTCGGTACTTCCTTCTTAGGATTAAAGCCACAGTGTTAGTGAAATGACTTGCTATAGTTGTACAGATGAATCAAACAGGTCTTGTCTGTGTGCAGGAATGCTCCATGGCACACACTCAGAGCTGAGCTTCCTCTCCTCTTTGTCCCAGTGTAGCATGTGTACTGGGCCTTTACCAGATGGATGTAAGCTACAAGTCTCCCCTTAGCTACTCCCCCCCTCCTTCCTAACATCCTTGCTTTCTGGCTCCCTTAGGCAAGATAATGCACACCAGCTTGTGTCCTCCTGGGACCCATGGGGCTCTTCCCAACCATCCCACTGCTCCCTTCTGCTTTGACTGCTGCAGGGACTCCACATGCAGTCTCTGAGACTCTAGCTGTTTTCTCATCACAAAGATCCCAACAGGGTTTGGCAGGGCTGGGTGATGAGGGTAGGCAGTGTTTCAGCCGCAGGGTAAAGCATGAGGTGTCTTCCTAAGGTTTTATCTATCTGTAGAAGAACGGGATGTCAATTCTGTAAGTGGTTACTACAGAGAGAAGCCACAGTAAGGAGATGGAGACAGTAAATAGGCAGCTAATGAACTCATTTGTGGGTTTCCATTTCAAATTCTGTTGCTTTTTAATTTTCCCATGAGAATGTGCCTGCATCTACACTGTGGTTTTATTCCTCAGGTTAGCCAGGTATAGTGGAATTCGTGATCAGTCTGTAGTGGTTATTCATATGTTTTTCTTTACTGAGCTTACTCCATTCTAGTACAAAATAAGTGATTAGTTTCTCTTTGCAATCAGCCTGTGTGTTTTTCTGAGATAAGCAATCTGTGTAATTACAGTTCTCTCAGGTATAGGTAATGAACCTCTTCCCCTTTCTGGTATGCAGTTAGTCACCTGGGGAAGTTCACTGGAATCATTCTGGAATCAAATTAGTATCACTTCCTGTGTGGATGAAGATGATTTCTTCTGTAATGGTCTTTGCGTCAAAGCTTGATTTAAGTTTGATGGCTAAATAGAATCAAGCTTCATTAAACAAGTTTTGGTGCGCGTTATGTATGAAACTGATAAATTAGTGTTCAAGAAACCCGAGTTTGTTCCAAAGCTCATGTTCTTTTTGTCCCTAGACTTAACTTGTTAAAACAAAAGTACAGTTTCAGCAAGACAGGGAATTTGAATAGTGTTACAAGTTTCCTCGCAAACCAGGAAGTAAGAATACAAATTACACACAGCTTATCTGCTGAGAGGTCTGCTCTAAGGTGTGCCGTGGTACATTGCTGCTGTCTGTGTAGAAGGAATCTTGGCAAGGGGCTATGGAGGATCTGTGTAAATTTGGAAAGCTTGGGCGGTTTCCTGGGAGACCTGGAGTGCAGACAGTAAAAGAAGATCCAAACTGGTAAGAAACAGAGGCAGATAAAACACAGGTTAACAAAGTTGTGTTTAGAAAGATGAACCACTGCAGACTTGTAAACATCTGGATGAGGAAGGAGAGCAATACATTGCAGTCCTTTGCTGTGCAGCTACCCAAGAGCTTTACTGACTGCCTTTTGCTCAGCTTAGCTAGCCATAGTGTAGCCACATTGAGATCATGCCCATGACTCTACCCACATCTCTGCTGGAGAAACAAGTCTCAGGGTAATTTGTCTTGCTAACCTAGAGGAAAGGTATACTTCTAGGAGGGTTCTTTTTTTTCCCGTTAGCAAGCTGAATTGGGTCAGTAACAGCTGGAAGCGTGAAGAGTCACCCCTGTTAAACTGATCAAACTGCAGCATTGTGCCATTCCCGGAAGGGGAGGCATAGTGAGGAACACAGAAAAAATGATCCAGCAGTATGCAGAAATTGAGCAAATAGGTAGTGTTTGTAATGCTTAACTTCATGAAATGGAGCATTAAGAACTAGCCATAGGATAACCTGGAGAAGGTGATGCGTATCTTTGCCTGGATGCCAACAGTCATGCTACTTTAAATTCATTGCAGGGACAGAAAGATAGTGACATAGGATTGGCATCAAAGCCTATCTAGGATATAACTATGTTCTTGTGAGTTAATTCTCTTGTCCTGGGTTCAGCAGTAGCAGTCATTTTTCTCCTTCTTGGTAGCTGGTGCAGCACTGTGTTTTGACTTTCGGCCTGGGAACAGAGCTGATAACAATGATGTTTTGGTTTGGCCAAGGACTTTGTGAGCCTCATGCTCTGCCAGGGAGGAGGGGAAGCCGGGAGGAAGCAGAGACAGGACACCTGACCCAAACTGACCAAAGAGGTATTCCATACCACAGCACATCATGCCCAGGGGGTAACTGAGAGTTACCTGGAAGGGCTGGTAGTCTGCAGGGTTGGAGGAGGTATCGGTCAAAGCTTGGTCGGGCTGGGGGGTCGAGGTATCGGTCGGCTGGTGGTGAGATGTTGTATTCTCTTCCCTTGTTATTTCCTTTATCATTATTATTATTGGTGGTAGCAGTAGTGATTTGTGTTATACCTTGGTTACTAAACTGTTCTTATCTCAACCTGTGGGAGTTGCATTCTTTTTGATTCTCCTTCCCATCCCTCCAGGAGCAGGGGGAGGCCAAAAAAAGGGGGAGAGTGAGAGAGTGGCTGCTTGATTTGTGGCTGACTTTGTTTAAATCAAGGGGGTAACTCAGATGAGTGTGTACGACAGTTCTTTTTGGCGCCCAACGTGGGGCACAAGGGGTTGAGATAACGACAGATCTGACTGGTTTAATAGTCACTCATCACAATGCTGATTTATTGGCTCTCAGAATTGTTCCTCTTGATCTCACAGTTTCAGAATGTTGTAACTTACTTAGAGCCGGTATTTGCTGTGTTAATCAAGTGTGGGGCCTGGGCTAAGGTTCTTGTCTCACTGTGCTTTATGGCAATGGCTTGTAACACGGGCGGGCTCCAGCAGCAGGGCGGGACGGACGTGGCCGTGGACTTGTACCTGGCCGTCCGGCTGCTCTTCACCGTCCTGGCCCTCACCCTACTCTCCATCTTCGTGAGGCTGCGGGGAGCCGAGGGGGAGCGGCCCCGGGAGCCGGCGGCAGCCGAACCAGCCCGAGAGAGCGGCCCCGGGGACCAAGCGGCGGCGGGAGCGGGGCCGGAGGCCGCGAGGGGACGGCTGCCGGTGGAGGAGGTCGGGGCGGTCGAGGAGCGGAAGGAGGCGGCTGCCGAGCAGCGGGAGAAGGCGGCGGAGGAGCCGAGCCCCGCGGCCGAGCCCAGCCCCACGACGGCCGAGTGCATTCCCTGGAAGCCGCCCGCCGAGCCCCAGGAGGATGCAGGAGACCACGCAGCATTTCCCAGCAAGGCAGAGGAGGAAGAGCTGGACTCAGGAAAAGAGAAGCTGGTGGTGGGAGAGCCGGCAAGCACAGCAGCTACACCAGCCCCAGTGACAAGTACAGCAGCATCGTTTGGGAGTTCTGAAGGTTTTGAATGGCCTTTGGGTATCCTTGGGACCTGCCTGCTGATTGTGATGGGGATCAGCATGTTGGCACACACACAGACTGTGTTTTACCCACCACCATTTTGTCTGATCTCAAAAGTTAAGCAGAGTCAGGTTTGGGTCTTGTCTGGGGTTAGACGACGATATAGGAGGACCAGGAGATTTTTCCCAAGGCTGGACAGCCATGAGTGGCAGGGTGTGTGGGACAGTATGGGCAAGTATCTAGTCCACTGGGCCCCTCCAGTGCTTTGGAAGCATCAGAGATGGAAGGCAGCTGTATGGATTTCCCAGCGACAAGTTGCAGTAACTGCTGAAGGGGAGAGTGAATTATTTTGAGCCTGGTGGGCCCATGACATTCAGGCCATCAGGGCAGAAATGTAACATAGAGATGAACTCATGATCGAGGGGTGGACTTAGCAATGGACATTATTGCCCAGGTTATTCACAAGTGTGAACACTGCACACAGTCTCTCCTGCTCTGGAAGACTGTTACAAGAGATGGAGCCTGACATCATGGACCAGGTGGACTCAGCAGCTTTACAGAGACTGGTCCATGCACTAAGATAAGAGTGCACTGAGATAAGAATGATGGTATATTGAAAATGTGGGATCTGAGCATGACATGAATGGTATGGAACAAGGGGTGGATACTGTCCTGGGTTCAGCAGTAGCAGTCATTTCTCTCCTTCTTGGTAGCTGGTGCAGTGCTGTGTTTTGACTTTCGGCCTGGGAACAGAGCTGATAACAATGATGTTTTGGTCTGGCCAAGGACTTTGTGAGCCTCATGCTCTGCCAGGGAGGAGGGGAAGCCGGGAGGAAGCAGAGACAGGACACCTGACCCAAACTGACCAAAGAGGTATTCCATACCACAGCACATCATGCCCAGGGGGTAACTGAGAGTTACCTGGAAGGGCTGGTAGTCTGCAGGGTTGGAGGAGGTATCGGTCAGTGCTTGGTCGGGCTGGGGGCGAGTTATTGGTCGGCTGGTGGTGAGGTGTTGTATTCTCTTCCCTTGTTATTTCCTTTATCATTATTATTATTGGTGGTAGCAGTAGTGATTTGGGTTATACCTTAGTTACTAAACTGTTCTTATCTCAACCTGTGGGAGTTACATTCTTTTCAATTCTTCTCTCTCTCCCTCTGGGAGTAGGGGGAGGGCAAGAAGGGGAGGAAGTGAGTGAACGAGCTGTCTGGCTGGGTTTAAACCACGACAAGCTGTCATTCTTGTATCTGAAGCCCTTGGCAAAAATGTTTCTACTTTTTCTTCACAGGGAAGCTTCTTGCGCCTCTATTATCCATCATGCAGTGCCACAGATAATGAAGAGGCACCATGGATTCCAGATAAAGAATACTATCAGGGACTCTCTGACTTCCTTAACATGTATCGAGTTGTAGGAGAAAGGCTTTTCCAGTACTACATTGGTAAGACTGGTTCTGGTTTTATTCCTTGACTAGTGCAAGGGCACAAGCTCTGTACACTCAGTTGTCATTTCAGTGCTCCATGAGCCCTGCGTTACTGCTGCAGGACTGAAAAACAGCTTTTCTCAAAGAAGTGTGTTTGTTTGGGCTGGGTTTATGTAGTGAGGCTCAGTGCTGAATGTGACCCAGTTCTCAGGCAGATCTGCAGTGTCTCAGTGCTCTAAGTAGGAATGGCTGGGCAGTTTTCTCTAGGAAGAGCTTGGATAAACTGCACTTATGTGTTGGGATTTAAATTCCACTGGGAAATGCATAGATATGCAAAGGTCAGATAGACCCTAAGATCTGAATACCAATTAGACTTAGATGCGTGCCTATCCCTATAAATCTGTTTTCATAGGGTTTAGGAGATATGTAGGGCTTGTGCTAGGCTTTGGATGGGAGGAGCAGAAGAAAGTAACTTCCCGAGTAGAAAGTGTTTTCAGAATCAGCTCTGTATCTGTCTCCTGTATTGTAAGGATGAGATTTGGTACCGTATCTTTAGATGACCACTATGAAATCAGCAGTCACCAGATTCTCTCATTTCAGTAATAATGACATGCTTCAATTTTTATCTAGGTTCAGTGACCTGTCCTGCAAAGTCAAATGCTGCTTTTAAACTGGGAGAAAAATACCCACTCCTCATTTTTTCCCATGGACTTGGAGCTTTTCGGTAATTCCACAGATTGCTGACAAATTGTTTTTGTTGTCTATGTAGACAGCAGCCTCCAAGAATGGTTCTGAACAGATTTTCAGTAGGGGGGTGAGATCTCTGTGGTGTTGAAAAAGATTTGAACAGGCTGCTCTGTGTATCAGTACCCTTCCACTGAAATCAACAGCAGTAAATAAAAGCAGGGTTGGTGTACTTGTGTTTTCCCTGTGTATTTTAGGGGTGAAGGTATTTCTTAATCCATGAGCTTGTGTGAAGATTAACTAGTTGATATTTGGATTGCTCTTTGAAGATGTAAAGTGCGATATGTGCTCCTTGTTTAAAATCATTAACATTTTTTCTTCTGAACAGATAGTAAAACAGTAACAGGGTTTTGTGAAAAGGCTTTGGTGCCTGGTATACAAAAGCCTGCTTTACTGGCTAGCAAATTCAAACAGAAGAAATAGTGAACCTATGTGAACCACACATATATAGTGTGGTCAATGTTTAAAGAGGAAGTCTAACTGAAATAATGACCTATGCACATGTCTCACCATGGTGTGATTTTGATTGCAGGACCATCTATTCTGCTATTTGCATAGAGATGGCTTCTCAAGGCTTTGTAGTGGCTGCTGTGGAGCACAGGTGCGTATACTGCACGTTCCTGAGTTCCGATGGAAAGAAACTTTCCCACGTTAAATAAGTTCTAAAGAAGAACTTATGTTTACTTTTAAAGAAAAACTACCTTACCTTCTTCAGCCCTGTCACCCTCCTCACATGCTATTCCTCTTCACCGCCTCTCTGTTTCTTAGCTTAACTCTTATCTAAGCAAAGGGGAGGTTTAGATTGAATACTAGGAAAAGTTTCTTCACCAAAAGGGTGTTCAGATATTGGAGCAGGCTACCCAGGGCAGTTGTGGAATCACAAAAAAACATGTAGATGAAGCCCTTAGTGACAGGTTTAGTGGTGGACTTGGACTCCTGGGATAAAGGTTGGACTTGATCTTAAAGGTGTTTTCCAACCTAGTTTATTCTAAAGGGGATTTGCTTAGATAAGCCCTTGAATGAGAAGCCCTGAGGTAGATATAATTCATCATTCTTCAGGCAGTCTGCTTTTCTCTCTCTGTTAGAGCCTGGATAATAACTTCCTTGGGTGACACAGTTTAGTGTGAAGTGTCCCTGCCCATGGCAGGGGGGTTGGAACTAGATGATCCTAAGGTCCTTTCCAACCCTAACTATTCTATGATTCTATAATATAAAGAAAGTGAGAGCTTTGGTGGGGTTAATGCATTATTTAGAAAGTCTGTCAACACTCTGTTGCGATTGCAGCAGCATTGGTTGGTAATTGAATCTCTTGAGATAAGTGAAATCTAAAACTTCCGCCAACTTCATTTCAAACATCCCCAGAAATAATCTTATGTTGATATTACAGAGATGAATCTGCTTCAGCAACGTATTATTGTAAAAAAAAGTCCATTTCTGAACCACAGAAAGAGTCTGTGTCAGGCCTGGAGAAGGAGTGGATCTACTACAGGAAACTAAAAACTGGAGAGGAAGAGCGTTGTTTGCGCCATAAGCAGGTACTCGTCCTAAGTCTGGGCTCTAGGAAGTGAGGCAGGAGTAGTATGTTGAGGACTAACCAGCAGACTCTTTCCCTTTGACTGTGTCTGCAGTCTTTTGCCATGACTTAGGGCATATGCAAAAGTACGTCAAGTCCTGTGTCCCTGAAGATGAGAAAGCAAACAACAGCTTTCTTCAGAGCATAAACTGCTTCCTCAACAAAGCTTTCTTGTGAAGTTGCACTGTTGAGCATAGTCAGCTGTTTCACCCCTAGTTCCAGTCAACTTTGTTTCTTCTCTTTGTGTTCACACTTTTGCTGCCCAGCCCAGCCTTTAAGTGACACAGAATTCATTTCAGATGTTTGTGTAGCCTTAGGCTTGCTTTAGCTTTTGTTTACTGTTGGATAGCAAGATGAATCATGTTTGCTTCGTCATCTTCAAAACCACTTTAATGTGGTTTATAGCAATGTAGACAATACAGACTTCCTGGTGATAAGTAGCATCCATACTAGATGTGATAATGGTCATCCTGATGATTTCCTCCAAGCATAGACTTGACCTTTAAAATAATGGGAGTGTTTTCTTCCCACTAAGGCAGACTCAGCCAGGGAGGTGTTTATCTCCCTGGGCTGTACAGACAGCAGTACAAGTCATTTCCTGTGTGCATATAACATCCTACTTACAAGTCTAAATGCATGGTGTCTGAGCTTGCAAATAGCCTCCAGAAGCTGTTGCCTGCAAATTTCAGTAATGGATAAGTCAGGAGATTGAGATTTATTTGAAATTCAGTGATGCACAGACATCTTGCTGCTGCCTACACACTGCCGTTCCCAAGGACAGTACTGTTCTCTGGCTACTTTTGAAGCTTTTCTTTTACTGATATACTGGTCAAAACCACTTCTTATTCTGAACAATGAGAACCTTTACTTGCAACAGCTTTGTACAATTTTCAAGAATATATATATATATATATATACAAGAAGACTGGCTTCTTGAGTGTTTCGTATTTTGGGTTTATCCACTGTAAAGATTTCAGGGGTGTTGTGCATATGGGACTAGTGATGTATTGACATTTGCTCATCAAAGTGAGCACAAGGAGGAGTAGCAAGTCAGCTTTCCTTGTAGCTGTGTAACTTAAGCTTTTGCACATCCCAGCAACTCCTTCTCCTAGTAGTGCCAGGATGAACGATTGAAGGTCTTGGCACTTGGATCTACATGTGCATGTAGATCCTCCATGTGCAGAGGATCTATACAAGAGCTTCAACTCTTTGGACCTCCAAAAGTCAGTTTTGTTTGTTGATCAGACATCAGAGTTCCATTCTGCAGTTCAGAATAGTTCTTACGGTATCAGACACAAAGGGTAGGGGGAAATCAGGCAGTCTTGTGTCCAAAGGGCCTGCAAGTCTAGTGGTTGCCTGAAAATTCCTTCCACTGCTCTGTCCCAACTTCTCTTTCTCCCCAGGTGCAGCAGAGAGCGCAGGAGTGTATCAAAGCTCTCAATCTCATTCTTAAAATCAACGCAGGAGAGGAAGTAACAAATGTGCTAAATTCAAACTTTGACTGGAATAGCCTAAAGGTGAGTGAAGGGCTGTGACTGCATCTTGTTAAAACACCTAATAATGCTTCTGGTTTCCCTCTTCCATTTCTAAACTGGTGCCTGTAAACTATTCTGAAGATCACACTGTAGATCTGTGAAAATATTCTCAGCTAGATAGCAATGGAGCTTAAATAATGCTTTTCCTACTTCAGTAGGATCTATTGCCTAAGAAATTATTCCATTGAAACAAAAACAAAACAAAAACAAACAGAAAACAGAAGTTTGGGAAAGAAAGTCTCTTACAGCACCTGGATTTTTTTGACAGGATTCTGTTGATACTAGCAGAATAGCTGTGATGGGACACTCTTTTGGTGGTGCTACAGTTATTGAGAGTCTCAGCAAAGAAATAAGATTCAGGTAAGTATGCAAAACAAGGCAAGAGACATTTGGCACTTAAGAGGTCTGGAGCAGGGGACCTTGCCTAAGATCCCCCAACTGCTGATTAGCTCTTGAAGAAAAGGCTTGTTTGGCATGTCTTGTTTTCTTAAGTTGTGCTTCTTTCAACCATGGGGATGTGGTGGAACACCATAGCTGCATCATATTGTATCATGTACCATGATACTGTGGCACCCTGCTGAATCTCCTGTGCTGGGCTGCACCTGGCAGCTGAGACCATGGATACTGCAATAATGGATTAATTCTCTGCCCCCAGAGGAGAAATTATTTTGAAACAAAGTGATTCATTCATCTGTTCCCCTGTTCAGTTTCATAGAGCGTTTCTCTGCCATGTCTCCTGCAAATCAAAGCATGCTGAGAACTTCCATACAAAGCTTCCTGCTTCTGTGACAGTACCCAGTTGTTTTTGACAGGTGTGGCATTGCCCTCGATGCGTGGATGCTTCCAGTAGGAGATGACATTTACCAAAACAGTGTCCAGCAACCGCTGCTTTTTATCAACTCTGAAAAATTCCAGTGGGCTGATAACATCTTAAAGATGAAGAAGCTCAGCTCCAATGACACAAACAAGAAAATGATCACTATCAAGTAAGTGTCCAGGATCCATCATTCCTGTGGTTGTTACTCTGTTGTTGATGTTGTCCAATTACGTAAGAGGGATGTGGACCTTTTTGAGCCAGTCCAGAGGCCATGAAGATGCTCACAGGGCTGGAGCAGCTCTGCTCTGGAGACAGGCTGAGAGAGCTGGGCTTGTTCAGGCTGGAGAAGGCTCCTTAAGGGGGGACCTTAGAGCTGCTTCCAGTGCCTAAAAGGGAAAGGAAACCTGGAGAGGGACTTTTGTCAAGGACCTGTAGAGACAGGACAAGGGGGAATGGCTTTAAACTAAAAAGGGGGAGATTGAGATGAGATTTTAGGCAGAAGTTCTTCCCTGTGAGGGTGCTGAAGCGCTGGCACAGGTTGCTCAGAGGACCTGTGTCTGCCCCATCCCTGGCAGTGTTCAAGGCCAGTTTGGACGAGGCTTTTAGCAACCTGGTCTAGTAGAGGCTGTCCCTGCCTGCAGCAGGGTGGCTGAAATTAGATGATCTTTAAGGTCCCTTCCAACCCAAAGCACTCAATAGTTCTATATAACTGCAAAAAGACAGTCAATACTTTCTCATGGCCCAGGTTTTCACTGCGTACTTAAAATAGATAGCAATACGTCCCCACACTGGAGCCAGAGACTTCTCAAAGCTGCCAGTAACCCTAAATTTATGATACCCCAAGGTGTGCATTCCTGCCCCCAGCCACAAGTTTTGCTCAAATGCAAATCTGCATTTGAACACTTTAAATAGCCTTCTGGGTGCATTTATGCACTTGCCTCATTAAAGTACTGTGTGCAGCAGAGTTGATCGCTCTATAATTAACCTTATACTCAGAGCAGAGACACAACTTGAAGTTTTGCCAAGCCCACTTCTGATTGCTGTTGCAGTGACTACAGTAAAACATGTACAGAACTTCTTCCCTTCTGTGGTTAGGGCAGAATTCACTACTCATCTTGCATGCTCATGAGATTAACCTGCTTTATCTTCTGCTAAGAAAAACCCAGTATAAGATGCATGACTGTCTTTGAAGAATCCTGTGCAACCTATGGCATCTTTTAATCCGACATTTGTAAGAGCCTGGGGCTCATTTTTCTGTTTGCAGGGGGTCAGTACATCAGAGCTTTCCTGACTTTACCTTTGTGAGTGGAGGACTTATTGGAAGGTTTTTCAAACTGAAAGGAGAAATAGATCCAAATGAAGCTATTGATATAAGCAACCACGCATCATTAGCCTTCCTGCAGAAACATTTGAGTAAGTATCTGTTTACATCCGAGTACGAAGTTAATATTTAATTCCTCTGAGGCTTTCTATATAACCGTTCAGTTTAGAACAAGAACAGAAGCAAGCAACTTAACATAAGCCAGCTTCAGTGTGCGCTTGCAGCCCAGAAAGCCAACCGTATCCTGGGCTGCATCAAAAGGAGCGTGACCAGCAGGTCCAAGGAGGTGACCCTGCCCCTCTGCTCTCGTGAGACTTCGCTTGGCGTATTGTGTGCAGTTCTGGTGTCCTCAACATAAAAAGGACATGGAACTGTTGGAACAAGTCCAGAGAAGGGCCACGAGGATGATCAGGGGACTGGAGCACCTCCTGTATGAAGATAGGCTGAGGAAGTTGGGGCTGTTCAGCCTGGAGAAGAGAAGGCTGCGTGAAGACCTCATAGCAGCCTTCCTGTATCTGAAGGGGGCCTATAGGGATGCTGGGGATGGACTCTTCATCAGGGACTGTAGTGACAGGACAAGGGGTAATGGGTTAAAACTTAAACAGGGGAAGTTTTGATTGGATATAAGGAGGAAGTTCTTTACTGTAAGGGTGGTGAGGCACTGGAATGGGTTACCCAGGGACATTGTGAATGCTCCATCCCTGGCAGTGTTCAAGGCCAGGTTGGACAGAGCCTTGGGTGACATGGTTTAGTGTGAGGTGTCCCTGCCCATGGCAGGGGGGTTGGAAGTGGATGATCTTAAGGTCCTTTCCAACCCTAACTATTCTATGATTCTATGTTATTCTTCCCTCCCTGAAACATCATGCTTCCCCTACTTTGCCAAGTTGGTTTCATTTTTCAGTGTAGCTTTAAAAAAGCCAGTTACTTAAGTCATTGCAACTCAAGCTTCTTTTTCCCCATTTTATAGGTCTTAAGAAAGATTTCGATCAGTGGGATTCTCTTGTGGATGGCATAGGACCCAATGTTATTCCTGGTACTAATATTGACTTACCTCCAGCTGAACCTGAATAAGGAATACAAAGAAGTACTGAAAATGCTACAGACATCACAACACTAATATTGGCCAAACATTGCTCAGACACATGGTAATGCTGGCCACCTACGCAGCTTTTGGGGTGTGGAACAAAAAAAATAAATAAAAAAGAGATAAGGCATTAGGTTATATTATCATCAATGTGCAGAGAGGTTTTAGTTCAAATGAGTCAGTGGGATTTCTCTGAAACACTGCAACAGGGTAACTTCTGCTTTGTAGGAAGCAGAGGGGAAATCATTTGATGGTAATTTAAACTCTCTGGTTTTGATTTAGAATCAAGTTTGCAGAGAGACAGTTAAGCTCTGTGGAATTCACCTGAAGTTGTGCTTACCAAGGTTTAAGTCAGCAAACTGTTTTGCAGCATAAGAAAAAAAAGATATCTCTGATTCGTTATTAAACCACTTGGTATTTCAGCTGTGCTCTGACAACAGTTGAAAGCTGGAGCAGGTTTTTGCTCCTCCTAAGTCAGAGAAGTACCAGATGAAGGGTTTCAACAGTCTTATTTTAGTAAGCCCCAGTAAAAGCTACAGGAAATAGCTTAATGTAACAGAAGTGCTTGTTCAGAGACAGGATTTCTCATATGAGCTCAATCCACTTACCTTTAAGATCTGTGTTTACTACCATACTCTGAGGCTGTTTCCATTCCAAAAGCTGCTGAAACAGTCACTCTTCTTGTAGCAACTATAACTCCCCTTAGTCAAAGCTCCAAGCAGTGCCCCTCCTGTTCCTGTCTGAATTACCACTGTCAGTCATACTGTTGTAGGTGAAATTACAGAAGAGATGTGTCCCTTTTACCACTCCCTTTAGAAAGGAGTAGTTAAGCATTGCTTGATCATCCTGATGTTTCTCTCATGGATGTACTACTCAGACACTCATCTTTGTACAAGTACTTGCTGTCTGTCAGTAGAAGCAGTTGACTATGTGGTTTGCTAATGGAAATTCTGGTTTTTAGAGGAAAACTCCTTGAAGCTGCCACCTGGAAGAGCGACTTCTAAATGAATAAACCTTGCAAAAGGGGGAGTACTTCTAACTGTAGCCTATTTGTTTCAAAATCACATGACAAAACTGAAGCAAACAGAACAAGCACAGCAGTTAACAGAGTAAATATTTATATAATCTGTGATCTTAACATGATATTACAACATCTATGACCCGTTTTCAGAATTGAAACTTCTCTCCAGCCTACTAATATGTATTGTCTCTATTAAGGGACTAGACACACACTTGTTTCTTCTTACTGTGTAAGCTCTAACACTGACATCTGTGATATTCACCCAGACTATTACATTGTCAGAGATATTGACACAGAACAGGACTATGAAACAGAAACCTCCTTTCAACACATGAGGAGGAAAACAAAAGGCAAGATAAGATGTGGCTGGTTTAACAAATCCTTACCCCACTGTACACATGCAAAACCATTCTGCTAGGTCTGCTTCATAGTTGTAGGAAAAGTTTTATCTTTCATTAGTGCAGTTAAGGCCATGTCATAAATACAAGTTCTGTTTTGTACATGACTTTCTGATATTTCAAAGCATTCACCACAGCTCAGTGGTCTAGAGAGCTGGTTAGGGTCAAAACAGAACCAGGATCTGCAGAATGTGCATAGCTACATCTAACTGCAGTAGTAGTGTTGAAAAAAGATACGTGGTATGCACACAACATTTGGGCTTATGCTTAGGGAAAGAACACAAGTCATTAACAAAACAGTATACACCAGCTGAAGCTTTATTCCAGCTTTTTCCATTGCTTTATAACAGCACCAAATGCAAGACTTCAACCTGAACCAACTATGTTCCCTGACAAAAAAACCCACAACATTCCTCCCTGCACAAAAAAAAAAACATACCCTCAACCATTTTTTAGAGAAAAAAAAACCTCAAAACACTTAACAATGCAACTTCCCTCAAACATCAGAAAGTAGTATTGTGCACCACAGTAGCCTATACAGCAACTCAAACCTCTGTTGAAGAATCACCCACTGGCAGCTAGATAACAAGAAAGTACAGAAATGAGAAGCCAAATAGACAGTAAGAGTCTAGTAATAAGTACTGCTCCTTGACAGGGAAGTATGTCAGTGACAGACATTTGCTCCATTATGTTGAAGAAACACTCAGTGCTTTGCCTGTATTCTTGTTCCCATGAAAACACATTTTCAGAGGAACGCTTGTGGACACAGGTACTTGTTGAGCTTCATGTGGTGAACACATCACTTTTTTTCAGCAATGTTGGAGAACATGAGGGATCTTCAGCTAAATGTGAACTGTAGCCACTTTGCTTTTCTACAGAAAGTAGAAATAGGTTAGATCCATCAGAATTTTTCTGTAAACATATAAATGCATTAATATTTAAAGTCTAACTCAACAAGGCTTTGGACTAAATATCAACATACTGCACCATATTAAAAGACTATACTCAGGCAAAATTATCATTGTAAGGATAAGACAGTTGGAACAACAAAACAGCCCAAGATGAAGCAAGCAGTACTCCCAGATTTTAGTTACAAGTTCAAGCCACTCCATTCCTCAGTGGTCTTAGGGTAACACATTGCAGGGATTTTTGCATCCTGTGGATTGGGTACATTCTACTCTAACTGCCTTTCCAGGTGGTGGCCTGCATGTGCAGCAAGACCTGTATCTATGCCACATGGTTGCACGACCTTAACTCACATTTTCTGTGCTGTTTGCCCAACAGGTAACTAGATCTCCACTGCAGGCTTCATAATTTGTTACCTGAGAACCAGTCCACTTTCTGTACAGGTGTGCCAAAATGAAATTACCAATTCAACCACTGAAAACACAAATGCAATCTCTACTCAAGCTTATTTCAGTCTCCATCAGGCAACCACTGGTCAAACACTGGAACCAGTTTCCCAGAGAGGTTCTGGAGTCTCCATCCTTGGATAGATTCCACACCTGAAAGGAAGGTCCTAAGCAACCTGCTCTAGTTGACTTTCCTTTCAGCATCTTCAAAGGTCCATTTCAACCAGAACTTCTCTACCATTCCATAGATTTTAATATATTTTATATAGTATATAATCAGAAAGAACTTGTACTATTTTCTTTGGTACACAATAGGTGTTTGCTAGTAACACTTCAGAATTTAAGTAATAAAGACATACATGGCACTATTCACAAACTACCCTTACAACAACTAAGATGGTATTATTATGGCTTTAGATTTATAGATGAAGACCTATTAAGGAACTGGGGCATTCAAATAACCAAATTACAATGCTTCGTAGAGTCTGCCTAGTAGTTGCCCACATTTCTGAGGCAAGGCAAGCAAGAGCAGTATACTGGTGGCCAATGCTCAAAACCCTACCAAAATCTGTAACGTAGGTGTACCACTCCAACCTGTCCAAAAGGCTCAATCCACTAGGTTGAATAAATAAGTACTAAACTGATCTCTAATCAAGACAGTGGCAGCTTACATTACAGATATTCACCATTAAACTGACAGTATGTAAGCTAATGCTAAGAAAAAAAATCAGAACAACAATAGTAAACACATAAGCTAAAAAAAGTTTCAACTGCAGTTTCCTAAATAAAGCATTTCCTAGAAAATCAGAAAGCATCCAAACACAGAGCTCACCACCTCTTTGGGAGTTTAAGGTAGTCTTACCTTGAAGTGAGGACTCCTCCGGTAATAACTGCAAGTTTCCTGTTACAGGGGTTACTGCCTAAACAAAAGGGGATTGTTAGGAAGCTGGCACTACTGCCAAGATAGTCTAGTATTAAAGGAATCACCTCAATTGAAAGCTAACTTTTTTCATCAGCACTGTGGGACTCTAATTTACCACTGCTCTGTCCCCTTACAACTCACTACAGAAGTCTTCTGCCCACTTTTTACTTTGATGGAAGAACTGCATGTGAGGAATAAACTGGAAATTCATTCTGCTATCATCAGGAGGATGGCTGACAACCTGAGTTGCGGGTTCCAGAGATGAGTTTTTCATTTGTTGGTATGTCATGAAGAGCACTGGTGAAAAATCTTACTATAATTTCCCAATTACTTAATAATAGAAGTATTTTTCATAATTTACCAGTTACTGACATGCTCTACTAGCATGATCTGTCAAAAGCCACATATCAGCATTGTTCTACAGTTCTTGATTAATACTAGTCTTCCCGTAACATTTCTTCCTTCAAGCTGTTTTCATAAATCTATTCCCAGCCTGAATTCACAGTCCTCAGGCCAGATGGCTGACAGTTTATAATTTATGTAATTATTAATTTATAATTTATGTAAACTATTTAGATGGATTTGTATATCTGTTATATAATACATTAATACAAATTTCTATAGTCTCCATAGTGATCCACAGAGGAGGAAAGATAATATGAAGTCTTAAAGTAAAATACTGCACTTCTAGCAGTGGGCATGAATACACAGATTTAGATGAATGCGACTTTGCCTTTCTATTCTCAGGGTGACACAGGGAGAAGCACAACTAAACTCAGAGAGCCCTTTCTAAAAGACAGTAGTGTCCTGCCCAGTCCACTACCACACTGCCTTACCTCAGATGACCTGTAAGCCCAGTCAGGAACACCATTCCAGACATTCTCAGGATCCACAATCTCCTCATTGCCACTGGAGAGATTCAAGACCTGTACAGACGGAGCCAAACCACATCTAACACAGCAGTGGATCGATCCTGAGAACACACTCAGCAAATAAGACATCTAGTAGGAGGAAAACACAGCTGAGGATTCCCTGCCTTTGAGAAGGTCTTCAGTCTGTATCTAGCAAGGAAGAGCAAGTTAACCTCTAATAAAGCTGAGCACCACTACTGAACCTGCTCAAGGTTCTCCTGAACTTTTAACTCAAGTATAGTGAGAGGGGAAGGCTGGAAAACATGTACTAGGTCAGAAGAAGAAGGAAATAAATCAGGAGAGATATCGCTACATACCCAACACTCATCTGAATATAGGCTGAGGTTAGTTTTAGATACCCAAGGAATCCACTAGTAAAAGAGATGGCCTTCATGATCTCAGGCATTCATTCATCTTTCAAAAAGTTACTTCTGTGAAGTGATCTTTTGGATATGCAACCTTAAATTACAACTTAAAGGCTCTTTTATGTTAAGTATAACATCTGTGCATTTGTGTACATGCACACACACACACACTTCCCCTGAACCAGAGGAAGACTATTTATCCCATAGCTTAAAAGAAGTAGAACAACACAACCCATTAGATTATAATCTGTTAACTACCACCAATCACTAATCTAATACATTTCACTGAAGCAGTAATAGTCATATATTATTAGTTACAATGTAATTCAGGTTTCTTCCCAAGT